TTCAAACATCCTCACTATTATTTGTTACCTACTTTTTAGAAATTGTGAACTCATCCCTCAAGAAAATTTTGATTTTCACAAAGTAACAGATAAAGTTATGGAACTTTGATTTATAATTTGAACTATAAAATAAAAATTATTAAATGAGAAAAAGATTTCAAACTCAATTATTGTTTAATAATTAATATTATGCAGTTTGATACAATTTGAATTGTATAACACATTTTATATATCAAGGCCAATTGTTTGTATGGCATAATTCATATATGTTAGTGTGTATATATATATATATATTTCTCCTGAACATACAATAACATTATTGATATGAATTAACTACTCTAAATAAGACTTTGGTATAATAGTTAACGAATATAGGTTAAATACCTTTTTTGGTCCCTCTACTATAAGAAAAAGCTCATTTTTGATTCCTGTACCGAAAAAATCCATTTTGTGATCCTTACTGTTCACAAATCCGATCCCTTTTTGGTCATTCTGTTAATTTTTGCTCATATGGCACATTAACTTAATGGGAACAGCTGATGTGGACTTAAAGATATCCTCCACGTCACCCTCCACGTGCGGAAAAAAAAAAAAAAAAAGGTTAAATGCTAAATTTGATCCCTCAACTTTATAAGTTTACATTTTTTTATCCTTAGATTATTCTTTTTACTTTTTTTATTTTTTAACTCTAAAAATTACGCAATTTTGATTCTTCCGTCAGTTAAACATGACGTGGCAATTAAATAATTCTATTTGACATTCTCTTTTAATTTTTTTGATGACATGATAATTATATGTATTATAATTATGTTATATAAATAAATAAAAATATTACGTAAATAAATATTTATATTTTAATTTAAACATAAAATTACATTATTACACTCAACTCTCAACCCCTCTTCGTCCGCTTCTTTCTTTCTCTTTCTTTCTTTCCTACCCAAATTGGCTGAGGGATCTAGCATCTTTCTTTCCTCACAACATCTCCTCTCCTCTCGCAGAGCAAAGAAGAAATCCTCTCGCCCGTCGTCGGTCCATCTTCCATTCGTCCGTTTAGCTTCCAGAAATGGCACAGATCAGCTTCGTGAGGGCTTTTGTTGCAGCTTTGGTGATGGCGCTTTTCATTGCCGTCTCGGCTCAGATCAGCGAGTCTTCTGCTGCGGCTCCTGGTCCTCTCCCCGATGCTAGATCCTCTCTGGCGGTTTCTGGTGTGGTCCATCTTCAATTCGTCCGTTTAGCTTCCAGAAATGGCACAGATTAGCTTCGTGAGGGCTTTTGTTGCGGCTTTGGTGATGGCGCTTTTCGTTGCCGTCTCGGCTCAGATCAGCGAGTCTCTTGCTGCGGCTCCTGGTCCTCTCCCCGGTGCTGGATCCTCTCTGGCGGTTTCTGGTGTCGCCGTTGGGGTGTCTTTGATCGTATCTCTTCTCGCTCTGTTGAAGCAGTAGATTAGGTTGGGGATTGTGTTTCGGGTACATAGAATCACAAGGATATGATGATTTGTGGGTTTTGTTGTTCATTTGTTTGATGATTCTTTGTTATTTGTTTGGATAATAAATTGAATTCTTTTAGTAATAAATTCTAGTGTTCCAATCTCAATTTTATCCCGTTGATTTATTCAGAAAATTTTAAAGCTTTTTCTTAAGAGGATATACCCAAAATGTTTTGGGTATTTCGTTATAATAATAACAAATAACTTTATAAAAAAATGCAAACTTATAAAGTTGAGAGGTGAAATTTAGCATTTAATCTTTTCTTTTTCTTTTTTTCCTGCACGTGGAGGGTATCATTAAGTCCACATCAGCTATTTTCGTTAAGTTAACGTGTCACGTGAGCAAAAATTAATGGAAGGACCAAATAGGGACTCGATTTGTGAATAGTAAAGATTAAAAAAAAGGTTTTTTTCTATAGTAGAGGGACTAAAAAATAACTTTTTTTATAGTAGAGGGACCAAAAAAAGTATTTAATCAAAAATATATTAATATATTTAAGAATTAGATCAACCTGTAAATTTATGTAACCAAGAAAAAAAAAATCCCACCTGCAAATATATGTATTCATTGAGAGACCAAATGGTAAAGCAAAACAGTCAAGATTTTGCATTCACGCAGGCTGGTCACTCCACCTTTAATATTTGATTTGTTAAAACATTTGAACACATATTTTGAACCTTAATTAAGTTCATATTATGAAGAAAAAGGCAAAGGAAAAACAACATTGTTGAGTACATCTTGCTACTTTTTCAATTCCTTTTCTCTCCAAATGCATGCACATTGTACACTAGTCTCATGCATCTTCAAGAGATCATACATACAAATTAATTAAGATGTGGATCACTAGTTAATACCAGAGCACTATATTAATTACAATATATAATGTTCTAATTTGACTCCTTAATGTATATGACCTGCTCCCTGCAGCTAGCTAGCTAGAAAGCGGTAAAGCCCTCGTGTTCAGATGAATTTGAATCATCACAACGAGAGTGGTTGTGTCTATGTTTGTGTTGTTCGCATTATTCGTTATATTAAATATTCAATTTTTTATGGACTTTACCTTTTGTTTATTTATCTTTTAGACTTCATATTTATTCTAATATTGATTGGATTGGAGATCTTAATGATCGTTAATTTACTATTAAATATTGTCCTTTGTTTAGTGGTTCTTTAATTTCTTGATATAGCAAAAAGTAAATAGTTTTATCTTGCCCCAGCACAGAGGATGAGTATTGAGCACTTGGATATTTGTCATTAATATTAAAAATAAAATTACTTTTTATGGTTTTTTTACACATTAATAAGAAAAAGATACAATTAATGTATTTTTATTTGTGTTTTAAGGATACAAATTAGA